GTTAGATTCACTTGGTTCACGCGACGGTCGTCGGCCAAGAAAGTCAGTTTCAGTATCTTCAGATGATTCGTTAGATTCACTTGGTTCACGCGACGGTCGTCGGCCAAGAAAGTCAGTTTCATTATCTTCAGATGATTCGTTGGATTCACTTGGTTCACTTGACGGTGGAAGACCGAGAAAGTCTGGATTATTTTCAGATGATGACGATTGCATTTGTCCACCGTTTGGTGGTGGTGGGTTAAAGTGTATTCTGGACATTCTTATTTTTCTTCTTCTGATTAAATGGAAAATAATAAAACGAATAGAAATTCAATTATAATAACTGATTTCAATGACTATACTCGATCGAATGTAAACTTACAACTGATTCAAATAAATTGAACGAATGTGCTTTTTCAATGACTACTCAATTGAATATTTTGTCATTGAAAATTGTTTAATTTTTCACTCTCTCTCTCTCTCTTTTCTACTCTTCATTTAAAATCGTGAGTTCTTGATTTTGCCACCACCCATGTAATTCATTTGCGGAGTAATTTTGACGATGGCGGGACTGTGCGGAGTTTGGCGGAGATGACATATAAACTCTGTGTGTACGAGGGTAACAGCACATCTATGTGTATCATTCTTACGCAGATGATTAGTAACTTAGCTGTGTGTACGGCTACTAAGATGTTCGTTTGGACAAAATAAATCTATGAACAGCAAAGAATGCTGTTGCACTCGTACACACAGCATTTGCATGCTATCTCCGCCGAACTCCGCACAGTCCCGCCATCGAAAAAATTGCTCCGCAAATGAGTTATATGGGCAGTGTAATGCAATACAGACGACCAACTACCATTGAAAGTGTTGAAAGAATGCAAAGAAGTGTACAAAGAATGATCAATATGAAATACTATTTACAAATAAATTTAAGACATTTGTACTGAACATATTAGCTGTAATCAATTTTTTTATCGAAGCGTGCCAATACTTCACTTAATTAATTGTGAAGCAATTTTCAAAATAATTTTTCATGTTGTTAAATGTCAATGGCTACTTGAAGAAAAAATTTTTTTCACGATTTTTTACCATTTACATGGGCATGAAAAACACGGAAGACCGCTGAAATGACACTGTCACTGCATTTGCCATTTCAGCGGTCTTCCGTGTTTTTCATACAAGCCCATGTAAATGGTAAAAAATCGTGAAAAAAAAATTTTCTTCAATTTACAAATACTACTCAATTTTCTGTATCATCTGTTTTGGGTGATAAGGAATGCTATTTTTTTCATTCTGATTTCATCACCCAAATCAGGATATGGATTTTTATTTTTATTTTTTGAGTGCTTTATAGCGAGTCTCCGAGAGTTTCATATAAAATTCTCATTTAACGCCTATTGAATACTGACTGAATGTCAATCGTGATTTAGATGATAAGGAATGCGAGTTTTTTCATTCTGATTTCACCAGATGATACAGAAAATGTAATAGTATTTGTGAATCGAAGAAAAAATTTTAATTATTTTTTTCATTATTCGCAAGTTTATATGGAACTCTCGGAGACTCGGTATAGAGCACCAAAGGTAAAAAAAAATCAAATTTTTTCTTAATTCTCGACCACTTCTATTTATATTTTGAAATAAAAAATCGCTACGAACGAACGAACAAACGAACGAACAAAATTTTTATTTTTCAATTCCTACGAACGAACGAACGAACACAATCTACGAGTGTTCGTAGATGTTCGCAGCCAACACTACAGTAACTGTAAAAAATGGCATTTATTAAAATCGAACCCTTAACTTCTCTCGAAGCAAACGTATTTTTCGAACACGTAAGTCTTTAAAATAATATTTTTGATTTGCGGAATTGAAGCGAACTTTATAATCTTTTGTATTTTAGTTTATTGACTCGCCGATAATGGACTTAACTCAGCAAATTTTCAATCAGTGTTTACAGCTATTCGAAGAATATTTCTGTACTGTAAGTCTAAATAAATTAATTGTCAACAAAGCGTAATTGCACCATTCGACTCTCAAAAATATCAAAACGTGATACTAATATTGAATATGATTTTTTTTTATTTCAATTTATGGTATTTGTCTCAGAAGCAAGTACAAGTATACCCAGAGTAAAATTTTCTGCAGTTGGTGTATACAGAAATTTGTTTAAAATAGTGAGTGAACACCTTCTTCAATATGGTTACACATTGCAGCATAATGTGTCAACTTATCCGAGAAATGATCAGATTGAAATTGACCAAATAAGGTTGATGAGCACTAAAATCAAGGTCGTTTTACTCCATTTACATAAGAAGGTAAGTAGATTATAATTTCAATTGTTTCAATGAATATGTTCATTGTTATTTTTCCGCACACATAGTGTAAGGTGAAAAGTATTGTAATCGGTCAAAATTTTGAAAACTTCAGAAACATGTTTTCTGGACGTTTCTGAGGTCAGAGAACCCGAATCAGGCCGTTTTGAGCATGGTTTTTGTTAATCTGTACGTCGTACGTTGTACGTCGTACGCAAAATTTGTTAGCAAGATTGCGCTCATCTTAGAATCTTAATTCAAAATCTGACTTTACAGGATGATTGAGGGTCCCGAGGAATAGAAATCATTATATTTTGAGCGACTTTGGTTGATGGAAAAAAATTTCATGCCTGGAGTGATACCTAGGAAAAAGAGTCCAATTTTCGACTAAAAGTCATACTTAATGTAGACTTAAACACTCAAAAATATGTATTGGGGTTTTTTTTGGCACGAGAAAACCGAATCCGACGTTAGTTTTGAGATACAATCAATTTTTGATACAGTTTCCTTGAAAAAATCACAAAAAATTGAATTTTTGTATGGGAGCCATACCTGTATGCTACTTTAATGACGTGAAACTTTGCACAGACTATTTTTCACACAAAAAAATAACATTCTAAAAGTTTGAAGAGATTTCAATCAAAATTTGGGGTACCTCCCATACAAAATTTTCAAATTCGAATATTTTGTATGGGAGGTACCCTTAATTTTGGTTGAAATTTCTCCAAACCCTCCGAATGTTATTTTTTCGTGAAAAAAATAACCTGTACAAAGTTTGACGGCATTAAGGAAGCATACAGACGTGGCTCCCATACAAAAATCCAAATTTTTTGCGACTTTAGTTATGAAAAGTGTTTCAAAAATAATTTTTATGGCAAAATTAACGTCAGACATATTTTTTATTATAGTGTTATGTTAGAAAATAGAATACTTTCAAATGTCGTACAAATGGGATCATCATGAAAGTGTGAAAAATCTTTTCTCGAGTACTTCTGCCATTAAATTAAAGAATATTTCAATGCCAAGGTTTGAACATATTTTTTGGTCTCGAACTTTACGCCGCTTGAAAGGCTTGAAAAATCGAACAAATATTATTTTGAACTTGCTGAATAAAATACGCAACTACCACCGTACTCCCGTAAGACTCTTTATTTTTCAATTTTATTTGAAATTGTGTCGAAGTTTGATAAATATTCGATTAGAATGATTAATTTACTAATTCAATTAAATGCATTTGGCCATTTAACATTGAAATCTACACTCAAATATACGCTTAAATGTGCAAATTTATTTTTGTATTTCAAATAAGGTGTGTGTCTTGAGAAATATGGAAACATAATATCAGAAGAAATATAAACAAAGATGTTCAAATAAATGAATGGATTAGGTCTAATGTGGTTTTCAAGCCCATTGAAAATAACATAGTAACATAAATGTTCTTGTTGTTGTTGCAATTACATGATGTAAATTACATGGGCAAACAAATAAGCATCACTAAATCATTGAAATGTTTAAAATCAACTTTCAAATGGAATGTTCGGAATTGAAATAAATTAAAAAATGGAAATTAAATGAGTGAAAAGCTTAAGTTTTATCTTTTGAATAATTAGTAGTGTAATGTACGTCATATACATTTCAATTGTAAGTTATTTGAAGCGTTTGCCTTCCATTTACTCTCTTTCATTCCGTGCAAAGAACGAAAGAAAAAAATCGCGTTGTTCACCGCAAGCAGCCAAAGTGAAAATAGTAAAAGAATAATGACGACGATGACGAAGAAGAAGTATAAGGCATACACGCGACACGGAAAATCAGCAGGTAAACAAAATCAGTTATTTTTCTACTCTTGAATGATTAAGACGTGCATTGGCTGCTTTAAAAAAAAGAACAAAACAAAAATAACACGTACACAGTTTCCAAAATACGAAACGGCACTGTGTGGTACGCACACAGCGAGTTGAATTGGTTTAGTTGATTGAATGCAATAGCTGAACAAAGTTCAGATCCACGTGTTGCGTTCAAATTTGCGTTTGTGATTGAACAAAGTGTATGGTGGATAAATTGTCGGGTATCATTTTGCATATACAATGTGACCAAGACGACGTGACATAAACATCGAAGAGAAAACCAAATAAACATGAAGGATATTCCATTTCCCACGCATTTTTCCAGCTTATTTTTGGTCGAACCAACATACGAACTCTAGTCACTGCATCTGATATTTACTTCAAATCAATTTTTATATCTATCAAAAACAGAACACTTTTCGTTCTAGACAACAACAACAATAACGACAACAACAACAACAAAATAATACAAATAAATTTTTAGCTGCAATTTAACTATGCGGTCGCTGGATATCATTTGGTGAGCGAATTATTATTTTTTTAAAACTTCAATTGTTTCTTTAGTGTTGGCAATGAAACCATAAATTATACATTTTTAATGAAAGGAAATTGTTTCGAACATCGAATTGAAACTTGCGAAAGTGGTTGATAATTTGATGCCATTTCTTTAAATTTCGTCTTTACATTTTTGATATTGAACTAACATTTACCGTTTGTTACGTGTCAAACAACTTCGTGCCGCCGAAATAGAGATAGGGACACGCCAAAATATGGAAGGGAAAGATGGATGTGTTGCTGCCAAAATTTCATTGGCACACACATCACGCATCAATATTCCAAAAATCAAATAAGAAAAACGTTGAACATCAGAAGGATACCGTTTATAATATCTCGAGAGAGAGAGAGAGAGGGAGAGAGAGAGAGAGAGAGAGAGAGAAAGAAGTGTCTAAAATTCAAATCGAACTCAAAATAAAATACAATAAAATGTATAAAATTAAGAAGAAATAAAAGTAGCGATGAAAATGTCTATATAGTATACATATTTGAGTTGTGCATGCAATCACTACAATTCGACGAACTAAAGTACAACCGAATGATTTTCAGGGTTTCTTTATTCGTTTATTTTAAACCGTTGACGCGCGCACAAACGTGCACTTGCAATTTCATTGCAAACTTTTCTTTTTTTGCTCATTTTCTCTCTTTTATTTTGTTTTGGGGCATTATACACTCAATAAAATTCAATAAAATACCGTTACGTAAATGCCGACACATACTCAAACAAAATATAGAAACAAATTCACCTTGATTCAGTCCCATCGATGTCCCGTCCCGTCGACCTTTATCGATATTTTTAACGTTGTTGCTTTCGATTTTCTCATTTCTTCTTCCTCCTTCCTTTTTTCAAGTGCGTGTACATTGTACTTATGTCGTCCGTTCGGAAGCCATTATTATGAATGAGAAGTGACGTGTGAAAATTATGTTGTAAATTAAGTTCTTGAAGAAATATTACGTTATGCGCTCAAGATTGCATCACAAGAAAGTTAAAATTATTTCAACACCTCGGAGAGTTGAATTCGAAAAAAATTATTTTCGGGAAATGTTCCGGCATTGGCCGAACTTTCAATGCTTTAGACGTGTTCAGCATTCATGGATTGCAAAGAAAATATATTTAAAATTAAACTGTGGAATTGACCCCTCGAAATAGAATCCCTTGCTTTCTTAAGCCTTATCGGGATTAAAAGAAATACAAAAAGTAGAAACATAGTTCAAAAACTAAAATTCATTCGGATTATTAAGATAGACACAATGTCCCTTCGAAAAATGTCGAATCAAAATTGTAAAAAATGACCAATAAAATCGGAACTTTAGGCAAATTCAGCTCAATTTCGCCGAAACTATCTATTTCGAATCACCCTCAAAACCAAGAAGTGAAAGAATCAAATCCGGCGTCATCATCAGCCATTGTGAGCATCAATGATCGATGAGAATTGAGGGCATGGTCATCGATAATTATATAATTTTCGTTAATTGAATGTGTTTACGTGCAAAACGTTCGGTAATATTTGCAAAATATAAATTATATTGTATAAATTGATTGGGGATTGTAGTCGCATGTGTCGAATGGTAGGTCAATATTATTTGTGATGATGAATGTATGTTTAAATTGGGTCAAAAATTAATAAATCTAATTTCTATGTTTTCGATGCGGCGTAACAATTATGCAATAACAATCAATTCGATTCATATGATTCTTGTAAAACCGCATTCTAATTGTTGAGTACCGCCTCCAAAAAACATAGCGGTCACCATACTTTCAATTTCAATAAAAAAAATATAAAGTTCTCAGTCTTCGGCTTCAATAACAAATGAATTATATATTTTCTGCATTTTATTGAGATTCACGCATGCACATACGCCATACAGAGTTTGTATATAAATTTCATATTTTGTTTAAAGAAAGACGAAACGTAAAGCATGTGTGCAACACGCCAAACACTCAATTACCATTCATTCTTGTTGTAAATTTGTGCGAGTGTGTATTTTTTTTCTCAACTCAATTTAACAAATCAATTAAAATTCTCTTGCGAGCCTTAACTCTTTTTTGTTATTTACACGGGTTTTTTTGGGGTGTGTTCTCACCAAGTGTTGCAAATATACAACATTCTGGCGAGAATGGGACTCATGTATATATTGTTTTTAATTCAATTTGCATTTGCATATATGGAGAGCGCACACATGCAATGTCCACGTGCCAATCAATAACAAAACCATCAATCACACGTATGTAGCCATTTTCTATGGTCTCTGTAACAATAATTATCCACTTACTTTTTTTTAATTTTTTTTTTACTTTCTCTCGTTTGCTCCCTTACTCTTACAGTAGGTCAGCACCACTTAATTCCATCTCACATTTGTTGAACATACTGTTGAACGATAATAATATGCAAACTTTTACAATACAATATTCAACTAATTTACCAATATGCAATTGCGCAACGCAATTTTATGAACAATCAACCGGACTATTAACAACAACAATCAAATCTCCATATCACATATATTTGTCGCCCGTTGAGACATGTCGACGTTGAAGGTCATCACTTTTATGTTCGCGTACAATTGCCCTTTTTCGTTTTTTTACGACGCAGAAAAAAAGGACATTTTTTTTTTTAAATTGAAACTTCAAAAAGCTCCGTCATAGGCGAAAAAGTCTCTAAAATCTCTTGTCCCTTGAGATTCGTTTAATAAAGAAATTTTATATTGTAAAGCAATTTCATCATTTGAAAATAATAGCTAGAGTAGCTTCTTAAGCTTCTTAGTTGGGCACCGAGGCCCAGTGGAAATGTGCAAAGAAAAATCTGTTTCGATTTTAACATTTAATCCGAATAAAATTCGATCCGATATAGTTCGAATTCTTCATTGGAATATGTTCGGTTTCAATCTTTGCATATTTCAAAACTAGAGGGAAATATATTTAATCGAATTTGAAAGAGAAAAATCGAAGTAATCTAATTTCATATTCAATCGAATGGGAAAATCGATTGATTTCGTTCCATCTGTTAACAAATGTACACACATACGTGTCATTTGTTCTCATTCGATTTGATCTCATTGGAATGATTATTAGGGAATGCCATGCGAAGTCTGGTTTTCGTACAAAATAAATGGAACGAAATGTTTGCGAAACATGTGTAAATATTTGGAAGTTGATTTATTGAACCTGCGCTTCGAAGATTCGACGAACACGGCTCGAATCATCAAAATCGAAACCGCAACTTTCTTAACTATAATACAAATTATTATCGTGTGATGCGTACCATTGTTTCCATTTAACAACCGGCATACAATGAAACTTCACTAAATCAACTTTTCCTCTTTTATAGGCATTTTTTCCCCTGCGGTTCGAGAAAAACTTCGAAAATATGTTAGTAAACATATGTTATTAGTATACGAAAAAAAATTCGTTAAAATGATTAACGATTTTCTTTTTGGCACGAAACTAACATTATTTATCTATGTGCCATAATGAACCAACACAAATTCATTGACATGTTTCTGGTCTTCCATTTATTTTTGTCAATTTGGTGACGGTGTCGCATTTGCTTTTCTTTGCTGCATTCAACGGCAACATTATTAATGTGCGTAAGGAATTCATAGATGTATATATTTCTGAATTTTGTTAACAAGTTGAATTAGAAGTGTAAATCCTACGAAAATCATTTTTAGAATAACAGACCTGTAGTCACATTGGGATGATCAGAAGTTATCTTAAGAACAATCAATGTTCCTTGTTTCTTGAATTGCCTGAGAACGCACTCTGTAAATGACACTTATGCAACGTTTTAAAAAATGTTCATATTTGTTTATCTACGAACATTTAAATGAAGCGACTCCAACGCACATGCTCGTTCAACAACCCTGCTCAAGACTTATCCAATTTTAAGACTATGTTATAAAAGAGAGAAAGGAAATTCTGATAAAACCGTAAACATCGTGTATAGATTCTGAAGTTTGAAATTCATGAGGAGGTATTACTTTTAAGAATAAAAGAGAGAAGAGAGAGAGAGAGAGAAAAGGCTGAAAAGATTTCAAAATAACTTGATTTTAAAATGATATTTGAACGCACATCAAAATTATCAATTCTAATCTCTTTGCAGTGCGATAATACTGTTCAAAATAAAAGTGATAACAATGACACCGCAATCAACAATCCAAACGCCATACACATTCCAGGAGGGCTATGACAAAAATTCAAGACCGAGTAAGAACGATACCAATCATAATAATAAACATGCACCAATGTATTTACCATTCAATCTACCCCTCTCTATCCATACCATCATTTCTTCAATTCAATTTTCGCACATAAAATTTCGGTAAAACACGTATTTCAATTGCATGTAGCTTGTCATTGACGTCTCGTTCTGATGTTGTATACTAATTGACAACTAATAATTGTTGATTTTCCGAACGGATTCATTTACCTAAATACGAAAATGAAATCATTATCTGCTGCATCAGCCAATTTTGATACATGTAGAAACGCATATTTTCCATGCTTTTGACATGTTCAAAAAAATTGACAGCATTGTATCATATCCATCAATTGGCTGTTCATTGAGTTTTCTTTTTATTTTCATGCTTCCTTAGTGTATTTCTTTACCTTTTATGATTTCATAAAAGGAAAACTAGAACAGAATCAAATAAAAATTATTAAATCAATAGCGTAATTGCCGAAAAAAAGAAGAAGCATAGTAATAATAATAGTTCATGCATCTTTTCGTGTATTGTGTTTGCAAGGGGCTTATGACATATGTGAATCGTACGAGTCTTATGTAAATTTTACTAATCAATAAGAGTCTATATGTGATTTGCGAGTTCCCTTATGATTTTCGAGTCAGTAAAAAGTCTCAATGACAGGTTTTAAGCGAATGTCAAATCGTAAAATTTTGTTGAATACGAAATTCTTATTCAGAACATTGCATCGAAATAGTAAATAAATATTTTATTTTTTTATTATTATTATCAAGATATATATAAATTTATTATTATTATTTTTTAATAAAAATGTGATACAAGAAAATATATTTAAGTGTTGAAATACCAAAAATTGTTCAAACAATTTTGCGAGAAATGGGATTTGGCTGCCGAACTAGTATATCTCTTATTAAAACAGAAAGTGTCACTGAAATTGAAGAATATGTAATCTAAAATCGTGAAATATTAGCTATATGAAGCTATGAAAATAAATATTCCTTCAAATTTTTGCCCGGACATCGGAGACCTATACAAAATATGCCATCGAACAGAAAATGAATTTGTCACAATTTCCGTATTTATTAAAATGCTTCATGGAAACCGCCCAATCGTATGTTAATTTAAATGCTAATGCCGGAAGAGTGAAGACATCCAATCATTTTTTATGATAACATTTTTATCTTTATGTATATGATTAGTGAAAAGTATTTTTATAAGACATTTGCTTCTAATTTGCCGATCCCAAAACCTAGAAAAGTGCGTAGGTTCTATTAATAAGCTTAATAATAATTCGTTCGCTTTTTTAATATCAAACAGAAAGGAATATGAACAATAATTGCTTTGACACAGTGGGAATTTTTAAGAGAATTAATATGATTCCTTTGGATGCTAGAAAAATTATATGTCTTCGATTAAACGTTGATGATATTTGGAATTGACATTAATGATTGACTCGTGACTCGCTTTACGACCATATATTTTGTGTGCGTTGTGTATGAAGTGACTCGTGTAGCGGTTTGTATGAAATTTTCACGAGTCAGCACTGACTCGAGCCAGTCATAAGCCCCTTGTGTGTTTGTTTAACGTTTAGCATTTCGCGTTTTGTAGTTTTATCGTTTATATTTGGCGCATTCATTTGATATGGTAGCGTGAAAGTCGATTTAAAGTTTATGTTTGCTTTGCACGGTCTACTTTGTGTTCAACATTTCTTTTTTCGCGTCGTTTTTCTTGTTCGCTTAAATATTTCGCTTTAATCCGTTTCTCGTTTTTGCTTCTATATACATAATTTATGTACACAGTGCTTCAGTTCAACCGAGAACTTTACTCTTTTAGTGCAATAAACGCTTATTATTATTATTTTATTTGTGCAAGTTTACCATTCGTCATTCTACAACAATATATGAGTTTTACCTTCGTGAAAACGAAAAACAAAATCGACATTGTCTTTGTCCACAAGGCAATCACATTTTTTCACCTTAGAAAATTTATTTTCAAAGTTATATCTTCAGCATACACGTTCATGCACATTCGTCTTTAGTCTTTTGCTTCCGACGTTCGGTCGCCCCTTCACTGGTCTTACCGCTTCAGCTCCTCATCAAGACGCAAAACTTGATCGAAAAAAAAAATGGCAAAGTTTTCAAGTGCATAAGCCCAGCTGTTTTGTGTGCAATTTTCAAAGTCGCTTTGGCGTAAAGCATTAAAAATCGCAAACTTTATCCACACCAATTAGAAAACGATTGAACGGTTTCCTGTCTGTTCGGTGTACGATTTATTTTTCATTCAACAATTTTCCAATGTATATTCGCTTTTATCGCTTCAAAATAATTCATTTAATTAATCAACCATTTTCTTTTCGCAGCTCATTTGTGCACCGTGTTATCATCCATTTGATCGAATTCATTTAGAAACTTGCAAATGCACACGCTAAAATTTGAAACACTTCAGTTCAGTTACTGTTTTTTAGCGCAATATATGTGAGGAGGAACAGAGCTCCTCAAAACATTAGAAGTCTCTCTTTCTACCATATATTCCTCTTAAGAACAGTCTCTGCCATTGTTTTTAAATAGCAACATTGTAATGATGATGCTGAATGTGACGCATTATGTTGTCTTATTTGTGTTGTATTTGATTTCTTTTTTCTTCTTCCCTTTTTTCTCTTCCATGTGTACATTGCTGTGTGGCTGTCGTTCTTTCTATCTTTCATGCTCGTTTTACTTTTATATGTGTTTTATGTGTGCGCGCAATCAACAGGTACCTCGACAACAGATGTAACTATAGGCTTATATTTGAACCGTATATCAGCTGTAGATGAGAATAATGAAGTATATACAGAATATCAATTTGTTTACTCTTTTTTTCTCTCGTCATATCATTTTTGTTTTTTGTTGAAATCAATATTTATGCACACCCTAGGGGACGGAAACAATTAGCTAATTTTTTATATTTCAATTAAAAACTAGGAAAAGTAGAAAAAAACTAGCAAAAGCTAGAAAAATTAGCAAAAACTCTTTGATCCGCCATTTTGATACTGTGCCATGATTTGGTAACTAAACCAATTCTACAAGTCGACTATTGAAAGAAACAAGTATTTTATGCACGATTTTGTGTTAAAAAAAAGAATAATTAAACTAATTTTTACTATTATAAGTGTATAATTATTCAAAACACATAAAAATATGTCTGAACAACGAAACGTCAAAATACTTCATTGTGTCAGTACAATCATTTGATTGTCATTTGACAGAACAAAAAACTAGAGAACTAGCAATTTCATAAAGGAATATTAGCATTATTAGATTATTCAAGCAATAAACTCAAGAATAAACTAGTAAATTAGTTATAAACTATAAAAACTAGCATTGGTTTCTCTCCCCTAGTGCACATCGCAAATGATAAACATTTACGTTGCTGTTCAGCGCGTTAATATGTTTTCATATGACAAATTGCAGTTGTGCAAATGTCAATATGGCTTTTTATCTTTGAAATTGTGGCTGAAAACTATTTGTCTATTGTTTGTTTGGTTTTTTTGCCTGTAGGAGATTTCATTTGATGTATTTCTACAAGTGATTTGGGAAGACAAACGAATACACCACCGTAACAATACTACCGATCAAAAATATATCGAATTGAAAATTGAAGAGCGTCACAAAATATGGGTAATATTACTGTATTTGGTGTGCATACATGTGGCCTGCCAATGGCTCAAGCTGGTTCGCTAAGCACCAGCCTCCTAATTGTTCAGCGCTAAGTTGCTGCTATTCGATGACGCTGTTCAACGAGCCAGCTCGAGTTCGTGTCTGTATGCGTTGTATCGCACATTTGAATAAAATCGCCGATGATCTATAAATAAATCAAATATTGTGTATATCTGATTGAATAGGTGCCCGATCTTTACATACGACAATTACGCGAAATGAAAGTTCTCACACTGTTTGAGGAAATTTCCAGTTTACGTTTGTACAAAAACAGCACATTAGTATTGAGCTTAGGGTAAATTATTCGTTTATTATTTTCATTATTCGTTTTCGTAATTTTCTCTATCATTGATCCATAACAAACAGAGCCTCTATAGCGATCACATGTGATATGGATTTTGTATTGTACCCCCTTGATGTGCAGAGCTGTCCCGTTGATTTTAGCAGTTGTAAGTGCTTTGTTTAGACCCTTTTTTTGTTTTTCTTACTCTCAGTCTGAAATATTACATCTGACCACGAGAGAAGACATGCTCAGCCATTAAAGTTTTCTCATTGAAAGAGCGTAAAATAAGGATGTTTCTTAATTTTAAAAGGTCAAAAAATGTGGTCTTCTCTTGAAATTTCCAACTTATGGAAGCCGAATTCGAGATATGAAAACAGGAACTTTTAACCCTTGACCCGTGTGTTGTGTTTACAACTTAATCCCGTGTGTCTGGGTCAGATTGACCCGTAGTGCATTTTGTATGGAAAAAATACGCGATGAGGTAGTTTTTTTTTTCTTTTTACTTCGATTCTTCGTCTTTGGAGCTCGAATATCCCCAAAGGGTGTATCATCCATGAGTAATTTTTTACGCTCTGTCGATTGGCTTCATCAGTTTTTTCCCCGGGCCCCTCCCTACCTCTCATAAAGGGGTTCATTTGGTGGATGCGTATGCATCTACTGCGTACAACATACAGCGTTGTACACAACTTGATACGTGTGTACGACGAAAAAAAACTACCAAAATAACTAATCGATTTTTTCCGCTTTTCCGATGGGAAAATCGAAAAAATAACGAAATTCCTGGGGTTGTCGACTTCCAGAAAACTTTGATCCAGGCCGGATCCACCTATTCCACAAGATTCACTACCAGGTCACTTCATCCCAATCTCGCGTATATAGCAGTTTACTCTAAAATATCATGTGAAATGAGGCGTGAAGGATTCAATGCCGTGAGTTCTCATATTCCAAAACACTTTCAACCAGATTGGATCCACCCACTCCACAAGATTCACTTCCAGCCCATGTCATCTCACTTCATCTCATATTATATTATCGGTTATGGTATTCTTGTGGAGTAGGTATATCCAATCTGGTTGAAAGTGTTTTGGAAGTTGAGAACTCACGGCATTGAATCCTTCACGCTTCATTTCACATGATATTTTAGAGTAGATTCACCCTTTGGGGATATTCGAGCTCCAAAGACGAAGAATCGAGGTAGAAAGAAAAAAAACTACCTCATCGCGCATTTTTTCCATACAAAATGCACTACGGGTCAATCTGACCCAGACACACGTGTAGCGCACATGTGTGTTTTAAGGCTCTATCTTACACATATGTCACATATGTGTAATATTTTCATTATGTTTAGAAAGCTGAAGATCTAATATATACAAAACGTATGATATTTGATCAAATATGAGATTTTTTGTATGTTTAATTTACAGAAGAAATATACCTCGGGTCAATTTGACCCGACACACGGGTCTAAGGTTAACTAAAGAAAAAAAAATCTTGACCATGTTCCTCTTGAATCCCCTTTTTTTAATAAGCTGCTCTTTCTTATCGAAATATCAGGCAAACTCACTCAGATAAGATATTTCAGATGTTTAAAAATATGTCAGAGAGTATAAATGAACCGCCGGGCGTAACCGCCTAACTACTTTGCTACAATTAAATTAAGAAATTTGACTGGTTTTAAAAGTGAGCCGTATGCAGATATGTTATTAAACTGAAGTCGATTTTTATCTTCTTTTTTTTTTTGCATTATTTGAAAAAGATAAATATTCGATAAAAGATATGAGCTTTCGCTGGAAAAAAGACAATCCAATCACATTTCCAAAGGATTTTGACGAAGGTTTTTTTCGATTGCCAAAATATGTTGGTAAATATGAATTCAATAAATTCATGAATGAATAACACGTCTTGGTAATTCCGTTTTGTTCGTTTCCAGTATCATTTTCGACCGAAATGGAACCAAGTATTTTGCATTTTAATGATGTGGATCACTTTTCTGCACGTTTACAAATCACATTATCGCGTGAAGTTAAAAGTTATTTATTGGAAAACTATCTGCCATCAACATTAGTAAGATATATTCAATTAGATATTAGATATATCGATATATATCTTTTATAGATATATATCTTTTTTATATCTAGATATTCTAAATTATTTTTTATAGTTTGTCCTAATAAGTTGGGGCAGTTTTGTCGTAGTTCCCGAAATTGTTCCAGGCCGTATGGTCCTTTTAGTCACAACGCTTCTCTCATTAGTCACAATGTTCGATACGGTGAGAAATAATTCACCAAATGCATTGGAATTAAAGTGTATTGAGGTATGTATTTCAATCTCAAGTGAGTGAAAGCAATTGTCTATCGGTCGATTTTTATAGGTGTGGCTAATATCATGCACATTGTTTGTGTTTTTGGCATTGATGGAATATTTCATTGTGTTATTTGGTATTCGGTACGACAAACATTGGCGTAAACCAAAACCAAAAACACCGGCATCCGTTCCGTCACATAATCAAACAACTGCACCATCAACAGCAACAACAAATCTATCATCGGAAAACGATGTAAATATTTAATTTTCTGCCATGGAATTTTTACATGTTATTTCATTTCGTTTGATTTTCTCTTAAATTAAAATGGAAAAATTCAGCGAAAACCTGCATTGGAACATGCAGCTCGTGCATTTTCAACCATGAATAAAATAACGCCAGAAACACGAGCCAAATTTTCAACGATGGCTGCTAAAAGACGCGAAGAGGCACTAATAAATGAAGCAAATTGCATACCTCCGCCATCGTCACTGAATCAATCGTCGTTGTTTGGCAATCGCCGAAGGTAGCATATATAAGATCTTTACTTCCATCTTTATTCAAATGAATTTTTATTTAACTAGGTTTCGGAGCGTGGCAGAAAATTTGGTTTTATATGTAGGCTCTCAGGTAAAGAAAATGCACATCATTCGTGCACAGAATCAATTTTGACATAATTTTTTTCTTTCTCACAGCACGGGCGCCTCGATCAAATCTCATTGATTCTTTTTCCAATGACATTTCTTCTGTTCACAATAACCTATTGGATCATCTATTTAAATGAATCAAAACGACAAACCATTTGATAGAGACAATCAATACGTTAATCGATTTGATTTTATATACTGTACAATGCCGATTTTATTTTTCTACATAACACACACACACAAACACAAATTTTATCTATATTTACTATTTATTTATTCATTATTGTTATTGTTTACATTTAATATTACGATTTAGTATAATTCTGGTTCTTTCACAAGTAAACAAGTATGTGAATTGAAGGAAGGAACAAAAATTTATAACAATTTGGTCGAATATACACTTTTGATTGAAGCCGAATGGAGTTTGAGTTTTTGATGCTCAATTGTCAATGATTCGATTTAAAAAAGACTCCATTTCTTTCTTATTTCTTATGGTGCGAAGGACTGAATGGCTTATCAAGGTCATCGATTTTCTCCCTTTTCTATTTTCAGGAGATTATGACTTTTCAAATTCAGAGCTTTTATGAGCATCGCTGAGGTGTGGGCACTTTTTGTCATTCCTTCTTCTATTCAGGTACTCAAAAAATTATATAGAATTTATACCGGATTGGGCACTTAGCCAGCATGTATCTAGCTTGCTAGATACACATATTGGTATAAATTTAGGACTGGTATTAAATAAATAAATAAATAAATATGCAATAAGTGTGGGCTCACACTTCTTCGGTTTCAATAACAGCTCTGAACAAAATTACTTTGAAATTATCCAAAAAATATTCCTTCGATTGCAAAAAAAAACTCCACCTCCGTAAGGCTGTAAATTTAATTGAGAAACTAGATAATACACTCAATGAAGTTGAATTATTATGACAAATTGGCAGAACAGGTGTTTGTTTTATTTGAAATTTTTCGAATGAGTCATCATATAAAATGTTTGCCGCTCATAATCAAGCGCAATAAGCTTCACTACAAACATTTTTAAGATTAGAGGGCAATTTATTTTGAGCTTTTGTATTTGTAATAATAAGTGCCTGAAAATTTCTTGCGATCAATAAAAAAAAATCAATTTTTCTTGTTTATTTTTTAATTCGTTCAATGTATTTTAATCGATTTTGAGATTTCATCAGATGAATACAATACATGACAAATATATAAAGATTGAGGAGGCAGGGTCGCCATTGCATTCACTGAGCTTTTCTTTCATTTATGCAAAGAAAAAGCGTGGTCTTGGTTCTTGACGGTAAGAACCGAAATCAAAAATAGATGGTCGTGGTGCTGGACTGTACGTTGAGCTACCGAAGTCAAAAATGGATCTTGGTGCTGAATTGCGAGACGGGCCACTGAAATCAAAAATGGATGATCTTGGTGCTGGACTATAAGACGACCTCGTTGGGGTGTCATAACCAAAAATGGATGGGATCGAATTGAATGAATTAAACATGCGCAAAAATGGTTGTAACATTGATGATTGTCCAGTCTCTTCTCGACGCGGTTGATATGCATCAACTGGTACAAGTCTCACTTCATATTCATCATCATCATCGCCATCATCTTGCAGTGCGATTTCCGGGAATTTTGGTTGTTCGAATGAAATTTGAACCATACGTGGTGACGAGGTAACCGATTGTTTCAGATGACTATCACCAAACAATGCATTATAGATTTGATCTAAAAATGAGGAATGTTCAATAATCTTTTGCGCATCATCTTTCTTTTCGATCTCATCGTGTTTATCCGATTTTACTTCCTTTGACGCCTCAATTGGTGTTTCGTCTTTCTTTGAACTTTCAACCAATTTTTCCGTTGAACTTATTTCGATCTTTTGCTCCGGCTTTTCGGCTGCCTTCTCAACTTGCTTCACTTCTTCCACTTTAACGGCTGGTTGCTCAACTACTTTTATAGTTGGTTGTTCAGTCATTTTCTCTTGTGGCGAGACAATTTCAACCACTTTTATCGTTGGCTGTTCAGTGCCTTTCTCTTGTGTTGGAACCAGTTCAACCACTTTTACTTCTGGTTGTTCAATCATTTTTTGTTCGGTCTGAACAATTTGGACTGGTTTTTCTTCATTTTTTTCGGTGGCAATTGGAATTTCTTTTGATGCTTCTACAGCCGTTGGCCTCAATTCCTTTATACCATCGCTACTGAGTACAAAAATGGTTGGTGTATTCTCAGTTGGCGCTGATGAAACCTAAAGAAATAAATATTTTTCTGAAATAAAATTCTTGTCAAAATAAGAAAAAAAAAGTTTACTTGAACGGCCACAAAAGCCAGGCACATAAAAATAAAAACTTTCATCTTTCAACGCGTTAACACAGGTAAAAGAAATTTGTTTTTATTGAAACGATGAAAATAATCGATTTGGGGACAAAATGTTCTTCTCTATACAGCACGACAATTAAGTTTGAAATTTGATGAGATAGCAGCGCGCGATTTTATATTTATTTTTTACTCGTTTTTCTCCCACTCTCTCTGTCACTCTTTCGAGTTCTTGTGATATTTGAATTATTATAAAATTTTGTCGAGCTACGATGTTATAAAAAAAGATGGTGAGAAGTGAAAAACACCTGTTGCATATCATTGATGACTCCGAATAACGTAATATTCAAATTAAGTTCACAATTTTTTGTCAATAGCAAATACATTTTTTTAAATGTCATGGTGTCAATACTTCTTCATTTTATTATTTGAATTGATGTTTACATTAAAATTGAGAACCTTCGAGAAAAACAAAGTTTAAAAACAACAAGAAAACCTTTCGAAAATATACCGAGTCAATGTGGAATTTTCTGGAAGCATTTTTTTCACATGAAATTATAATGGGAATAAGTATAATAATGATGATGAATCGCATCGAAACATTTATTTTTTTCAACAAAAATAATGCCAAAAAGAATTTTTTTTCAATAAATTTTGTTCTATTTCCATGAAGAAATAGAGATATGGGTTGGACCTAGTAAAAACATGATTTACAAATTAGCTTCGTATAATGTCGAAGAACCTTTCATAAAAAAATGATTTCTTTTTACAGATTCTCTGCTTCAAATACGGAATAACTTGAATTGAATACAAAAATTAGATCAACATGATGTATTTCATTACATTCAAAAACAAACTACGCAGTTAATGAATGAAATACGCAAAAAAAGACCGGACGATAGATGGCGCTACATTTGCATAATTCTTCGAGAAGAAAAAACTATACACAGAAAAGTGTGTAGCATTGAAATGTCAACGACGGTATTTGTGTATTGTTCATCAGATTGTTGAAATAGAGTGAATGCGAGTGAAAAAATTTCTTTTGATTCATCAAAGCATGATGACAGGAACATTTGATACGAAAATCAAGAGATAATTGTTTGTATAAAAGGAAAACGGAATTTTTGCTTCGTTTATATGTTGTCATCATCAGGTGGTCAAAATCGTCAAGAAAGAAATAATAATAAACAATCGCAAAACAACGGTGTATACAACGTAATTTCCACAAACTCGATGAATTTAGACAGTTTATTTTTATTTAATTTCACCATAATAAGCACATATTTTGCGCCCGTCGACATTGATATTGTGCCACGGCACATTGGTCATATATTTACCGATTTTGTGCATGCCATTGGCAATATCAGTGAAACGGTATCGGCAAATGCACTCTGTCCGATCCATTTTACTGAATTGCAAACCATTTTATTAACGATATTCCTTGTGATATTCTCCATAAATTTGGCATTAATTGGATTCTATTGGCAGAAGTACGGCGGTGTCATCACCGATCGATTTATTCGTCAAAGTGAGTAACCACAACAGCAAATTTGTGACATATTTGATTTTTATTACACATTTTCATGCAGTGTTTGCGTGTTATATTCATAAAGTTTTTTTCTGTTTCGCTTTCGAGACCTTGACTATCGATTTTTTCTGTTTTGTTTGGTTTTGGTTTGAATTACCACCAATAAGTCTGTAGACATTTGCTTTTGTTGTTGGTGAAACATTTTATTTTCATTTATTTTTTTAACACCAGGTACGTTGAAGGAGATCGAAGAGCTTAAATTGTCAGTCGCCAAATTGAAATTGCCCATCGAACATACACCCAGAATATAAACACACAATGTCGGCGATAAAAAAGTTTTTCCAAAAAAAGAAATCCGAAGCCAAATTTAAAGTAAGTCAAATGACACAATTTGTTTTTTGAAATGCGGTTTTAGTTTTATAACTCATCTTTGAAATGTTCAGTTGGCAGGACCGGGACGACGTCTCGATAGCAATGAAGCACCCACCACATCAAAATCAACCAAAGCACAGAGTGATGTCTATGTTCCGCCACAACGCCAAGAGCTCACGTCCGAGGCTAGGTACATAAAATTATCGAATATACATTTACATAAAATATTCAGTTTTGTTGACACGTAAATTAAATTTATTTTGTATTTTTCAACTACTAACTATAAACAGAACGGCTGCCGATGCAGCATTAGCTCGTGTTCAATCGCAAAAGAAAGACACAACACATTTTAATACATCGTTGGCTGCAATTCGGGCACAAGTTCAACGTGAATTGGAGGCTGAACGGAAAATAAAAACTGATGTAGAAATTAGTCAAGAACACACACAACCAAAAATTTTAGAAGATGGACACAATCGAAATTTGGCGGCGCAAGGTGTTTATTTCAGGTTTGATTTTGACATTTTTTATTATACAATTTTATTACACATACAAAAAAAAAAGATTGCATTAGACCTGGGCCCAGGCAAATCAAGTTTTGCTTTGGAATTACTATTTACATACTTTTTTTTCGAAAATGAAAATTGCAAAATATTTATGTATCTGAATGAAAAAAATGACTTTCATCCAAATTTTCATCGGTGACCACATTTTTGTTTAACATTTTTCCAAGATAATTATCATAATGTTCGGCCGAGATGCCAAATGGTTCGTTAACTTTGGCGCAAATATCGTTTGGAGATATCGTGGTGCCGCATTTCAAATGGCTACGATATACCAGTGATTTGCCCAATTTCATTCGACATGGCCGTTCACAGTCTAAAATTTGTTTCTTTGGTAACGAAGCCATTGCCAATTTTACATCAGACAATTCATCCTTAGTCAAAACGGTTGATAAAAAATCCAAAATGGTTTGCTCATCAGTGACCGTTGGCAAGCTATTTTCAATGGATCGAATGCGTGTAATGAGTTCTTTTAGTTCAGCTGGTTCAAGTGATAATTTGTGATCGGTTCCTTTTTGCTGTTTGTCCAATGTAAAATGTCGCTCAATGACCTGATTGAAGAAAAAAGTAAATTTTAAATTGAAAAAAGAAATTTTATTTAAAATTGTTGCACCTTTGCACCGTATGCAACTGCTGCTGTTGAAATGGCTATGCCAAGTTCATGGCCGGAGTATCCGATAGTAATATTCGGAAAATATTCCCGATATTTATGCAACATGTTCAAATGCACGTCGTTTGGATCGGTTGGATAGGCTGACACACAATGTAATAGACAGTAATTCGTTTTACGAGAATCGTTCATAATTTGTACGATGCGATTTACCATGATGTCATTTTGCATGCCCGTCGAAATGATGAGTGGTATTGTTAGTTTGGACGCATTCACCAATAATGGAATGTTATTTGCATCGCCTGATCCAATCTTAATGACCGGCACATGCAATTCTTCTAGGTCTTTCAACGACTGAATATCCATTGCGGAAGCGGTGAATATGACATCCAATTCATTGGCATATTTCTGTAACGATTTATACTGTTCAATGGTAAATTCCAAGTATTCTTTATGTTCACCATATGTTTTGCCCCATGAATTCACACCGTTGTAAGCACGATCAAGAGCATTTTGCGTAAACTTCTCGGTTAAACAAGACTTTTGAAACTTAACACAATCGGCACCAGCCGCTTTAGCTTCGGCAATCAATCGTTTTGCCATTTCAATGTCACCTTGATGATTTTGACCAATTTCAGCAATTACAAATGTACGATTTCCACCGATTATGCGATTGGCCACATTAAATGGCATTTTGAAATAATATTCAAACGATATGAACAAAAACTACTGAACAAACTCTGCCTTTCAGTCGAACTGAATCTACTGTCTAATATATGTTATAGCAACAGTGTCACATAGGTTGACATTCTCCGTAACTTATGCATTAGTTTCCATCGTAAACGTACATCTGCTCATATGCACGCATACAGACACACATATACACAAACAGACACACAAACACAGACACATATTCTAATTGAATTCATTCCTTTAATCAACAGATGTCCAATGATTGGCGAAGATGTATTGCCGCGCAACGAATGGAAAGTAAAAATTAAGGAATTTTTGTACGAACAATTGGCGAATGAACGTGGTCTAACATCATGCTTAATCATACTCAATTGTAATACAAAAGAAAAATCAACGGCATGCATTGAAACGCTTTCAAAATATCTACAAAATATCATACAACATCCGGACGATGAGAAATATCGAAAGATACGTCAATCAAATCGAATCTTTTGCGAAAAAGTACAGCCATGCGAAGGTGCTTTGGACTTTTTATTGGCCGCCGGTTTTATCGAACAAACCATTGACGATGAACAATTTTTCATCTATACCGGTACCACCGATGATGTTGCAAGTGATGATGCAACCAATAACGGCATTGAAACGCTCAATGAACTGCTTGATGCACTTCAACATTCAGAAATTATACCATTAGAATTGGATCGAAATATACAAGTACTTTCACCAGCTCAAACGAAAAAATGTGAACTACCACCCGATTTTTATCGCATCAGTGTCGAGGAAATAAAACGAGAACAACAGTTACGGTAAATATTTTGATTTCTATTATTTTTTTTTTACCTTTTAACATATTTTAAAAATCTCTTTTTTTAAATATTTGATTGATTAGAACGGAAGCCATGGAAAATTCGTCAATTTTGAAAACAAAAGCGATGCGAGAACGTGAAGAATTGCGATATATTCAACGGTATAAATTTGCATTAATTCGCATTCGTTTCCCAGACGGTTTCTACTTGCAAGGAACATTTTCCGTCTATGAAAAACTTGAACAGGTTTATGCATTTGTTCAATCGTGTTTAAAAAATGAAAACATTGATTTTAAATTGATGTCACCAATTGGCACGAAATGGTGTGACGATGACATGAATAAAACACTCTTTGATCTGCGGTAAGCTTAACTTTGTTTTGTTCACGTGACTTACTTCAATGCTTATTATGTTTCATTTGTCGTTTCTCTTTAGACTTATTCCAAATACTATTCTCACGTTTGAAGTCAATGAAAATGCTGACAATTGCGTTGGAAATTATTTAAAAGAAGATCTTCTAATGCTCACTCAGCAAGTTTAAATGATACGAGAAGGCGGGAAATAAAAACCAAAAGCCAATTTGAATATTGTTATGCACCGTTTAAAAAAAAAATAACTTATTTATAAAAAAATGACACCACAAGTTTATTGTATTTAATAATCGCCTTTATAAATTTTCCGTTTATTTTCAAATCAATTCCAATTCCCTTACTGTTTCAAAATGAAAAAATAAAATTTAAAAAATAATAAATTTTTTAAAGAATTATACAAAGCGTTTTAATTTTCTTTTATGTTGTACCTGCGACTGAGGTGCCGAGGGAAAAGAGCGGTAAATAAAAAATTAAATAGACTATAAATATATAAAAATGAAAGGAAATGCAATTACAGTTAGCAAATTTTTTTATTCGAACATGTGCATATACTGTCAAGTTTTGTAACTTTAACGGAATGCATTTGTTGAAAAACGATATAAACAATTAAATAAAATAAACACATTTTTGAAACGTGTTAACGGAACGTGATATGAATTGTTTGATATGGTATTGTTGTGATTCATACTAGTTATGTACCTTAACCTAACGTCGTTAGGTTACGATTAAATCATGCCATATCATTATATCGGCAATGTGGTTTCACAATTATATTACTGATAACTTATACTATAGCTTAAGTTCAGGTATCGGACTTTAACATATTCGGCACCAACGAAGAAGTGGTGTTTAGCAGGGCCTGACAAAATCCCACCTTTCGTAAGAAGATGTGCTGAATCCATAACAAAACTGCCAACAATGATATACGTAAAATCTATCATCGACTGCCAATATCCAGATATCTTGAAAATAGGTCAAATTACATCCATTTTTAAAAGCGGTAACAAGGCAGATGTAAACAACTACAGAGGGGTTACCGTAATCTCGACATTTGCGAAAGTGTTTGAAACGCTTATATATAATCAATTTAAATTGATTATTTATCCACGATTATCTAAGAATCAACATGGTTCCGTACCGACGTAGACTGTTGTAGATTAGATTGCACAAACAATTCGCCATTTAGAACAGCTTGTAGACTTTTCAATTTAACAGCGCTATTTATAGACGTAACTAGATCGATCATCGTGTAGGAATGAAGTTACAAGACTGTCGGACTCAGTTTTTGGTTCAATGTGCCAATAAACAAACAAAATCTAGAACCTAACTATTCAACTCAATTTACTAATTTTAATGTAACGTATGTGATAGAAAAAATAATCTATTCTAAATCTAACTATCTATTTATTTATTTATTTATCGAATTTAATTTACTCCTTCAAAATTAAAATTACACTAGTCAAATTTAAATTAAATTGAATATCCACACAATAAAATAAAACTGTATAGAAAAACTACATAGTCGGCTTATCAAAGTAGACTCAAAAATCAATATTATTGATTCAATAAATAATAATAATAATAATAATTTGCTAGGAAATACAGAATAAAGTAAAAAAAATACCACACATATTATATTGATTGATATTGCGATATTTTAAGGCAGATTATTCAGCTCAGATATTTATCGTCAGGCGCCGAGATGGAGTGAAAACAATAGAAGTGATTGATATGTTTATATAAACACTCACACAATCACTGCTATTATTTTCATCACGTTTGCGTTCCTGACGATAGCTGCCTGAGCTGATACAGCGAGCTGAAAATATCTTAATATAATGCCTGCATCTCTTTTGATGATTTCATAATTGTTTGGCAAATGTAAGAGCCAGAAAATTGACGAAAAATGAAGCATTCGGAGATGCAATGGTTTTAATTTTATAGTGTAAAATTTACACTGATCATTTAATATCGGTAAAAATAATTCAAATCCATTTTTGGATAGTGAGAATGTTAGAATTCAAATTATTTATCTCCAATGAATGAGATATTCTTAATAAAAAAATACATTACCATACTATTTGATTTATACGTATGAGCGTGATTTGAATATCTACCGTTTGAAAGTAAATCTAAAAAAGTTACTAAAGGGAATGTATTGCATAAAAGTCGTGGGCGCTCGAGTTTTAACGTATTCGGACTAATTTTTCAAAAAGAAAAATATCGCTTCTGAATATTGAGCTCATAAATCCGGAAAAAATGATGTCAGGTTCAGAGCTGATAGCTTATTTGAACTTTGAAAATATTTCTGAGCGGGCGGAATTCGGGAAGCCAACAACCCAAGCTATTGCAGAATAAACAATGTCTCGAACAACGAGAGAAAAACAACATTTTTCTTTACACTATGTTATTCTCTTTTATAGTATTCGTATTGATTAAAAACTTAAAAATACCAGATCAGATAGAATCTATCTAAAACCATTGGCATTTCATTGTATT